GTCACGGCTATAAAATTAGCCTCAGAAATGTAGAATATTAACATGGGTACAATTTCCTATCCGTTGGTGTAAATATAAGTGCAGCTACCTTGACGGTTTGAAAAATTGAGGACACAGCTAAAGACAGAGAAAACCCAACTTTACCGATGGATCCTGATGGAGAAATAACATGGACTTTCAAAATAGGCTTCGTCGTCGTAAATGTCGCAATTTTGACACATTACGAAATCACGATTAACAGCGTTATTTGGTGCATGTTTTGAAATGTTCAAATCGGATAATTACTACTCAGAAGTATTGAATTTCAAAAATAGCATATTGATGATCACTGATATCAGGTTTTGATCAAATCACTAATGATAATTCTGAAAATACACTTATACGAACGCCGAAGTGCGCTTTCCGTCATATTGGATAGTGTTTATAAAATCACGTTTCGCGGAGGCCGGTATTGAGACGCCTATTGCATTACGTATATTTCACATTCAGCTGCGACAAATGCATCACTGAATTTCCCATACATTTAAGATTAAAATTACAAATGGTCTTTGTGACCAATATCAACTGTCTTGATAAAATGAAACGAAAGTTATTGGGTGTGAAAGTTCAAACGAACGCTGTGCTGGAAAGGCTGCGCTTGTAAAGAAAGAAAAGTTCCGATTTTACACTACTTAGCATTTTCTGAAATTTTCCGACATTCAGCCGTCTATTCATTGCTTGCAATGGCGCAATAGCGCAATGGTGCAATAGCTTTAGAATATGCATGGAAAGAGTATCGTAGCAAGAAATGGGAAATTAAAAACAGATACAATGCAATCATTTGATACTTCATAAGAAATTGTCAAAGTTTCCGTGCAGCGTGACGCCATGACTGACGCAAAATCACACAGAACGACAATGGTAATTATCTGCATTTCTGGCTTCTTCTCTTACTTCTAATGGAAATGATAAAACATATAACAATACGCAGATAGTCGGAATCATTCTGATTACTTACATCTCATATTTATGTACAAACGATCCCTGAATCAGCGAAAGGATCCTCGTAAAATCCTGTGTACCCTTGTCAGCAAAGCCGCCATTTTGTAAGAAATCGGTCAACGGTAGTGATGTCTTACGTCAACATTGTTGTACATATTAGGCAATTTCTTTGAGGTGAAGGTCGGTTGAACAAGAGCTAACACAATCGCCCAATCAGTCCGATTACACTGTCAGTATTATGATGTATATTTTGCGTATAGTTCAGATACTTTTTCATGAAACTGACTTCAGTATCTACATTCAGTCTGTTCAATATCATATCATACGTGCATATAGGGTTTACGGTGTTTTATTCTTTAAAAGTTTTTGATTGTTTGAATAATATTTACATCAGAAATTGACACATTTAGTGCAGTACGCTATATTCTAAACCTTTTCACAAGTGTTAGAAGATCAAACGTAGCCATAACTGCAACTACTTTAGTTCCTGTGATGTACAATATTCAATGCATTTGGTCTAATATTGCAGTTTCCTATGAACAGGGTAATGAACGGCGATTTAAAACAACCTTATAAGTAAAACAGATAATAAATGATTTATATATGTTATGAAAATGCTAGGCAGTGTAAAATCGGAATTTGTCTTTGCTTACGTTTCAACAAAGTTTTTCGAGCATAGCATTCGTTTTCACACCCAATTTGTTTCGTCTTTTGTATCTAGACAGTTGGTATTGGTGACAAAGACCAGTTGTAATTTGATTCTATAATGTATGGGTAATTCAGTGATGCATTTGTCGCTGCAGAATATGAAATATGCGTGATGTAATTGGCGTCTCACTACCGGCCTTCGCGAAACATGATTTTGTAAACACTATCCAATATGTCCGAAGGCGTACTTCGGCGTTCGTGTAAGTGTATTTTCGAAAACATCCCAACCGATTCTAGGTTCGTTTCTAGGCAACGTTTCAGGATTATCATTAGCGATTTCATGTAAACTGATATCAGTGATCACGAATATGTTATTTCTGAAATTCAATACTCCCAGTAATTATCCGGTTTTCATTTTTAAAACATACAGCAAATAACGCTGTGAATCGCGATTTCATACTGTGTCAAAATGGCGACATTTTCGATGAAGCCTATTTTGAAAGGTCACTTTCAGCACTTGAGCTTTGTCTAAAATAATAGTGCATGGTATCAGGAAACAAGACATTTCCAGCAGAATTCGAAACTGTGAAGTGTATCTATTTGTGTGCGTAGGATATTGTGATTTTTATTGGACTTAAAAGTGAGGGTTGAAGGGGAAGGACATTTATGTCCCTGTGGCACCCAGGTTTGAGAAAAACAAACTGCCTGGCTGTTGTGACACGCTTGTGGGTCTACCTTAGCGGACAATTTCATGACCTTGTTCTCCTATGTCACGGATAGCCCTGAGACACATGGCGTTCACTCCCTCTCAAAGTTTTCGGTTACTTGACCATTTGTATTTGTAAGCCAACATCATACCAAAGGTGTACATGTACCAAGACCTATTAATATCTTGTTCATGTTTAAATGTTTTAATTTCGTTGATGAGATAGGTTCATTTGATCTCTGCAACCGACAAATAAATTCTTTATGGACACGTTTGTTAAGTTTGTTTTTGTTACAATGTGTTGAGACGGTCCCTGAAACAGCTTCAGCTTTAACTGTTGACACTTCATGCTTATCAGGAGAGACATTTCGCAACAGTGACCTACTTAAAACTTCAGTTGCCTGTGACGTAATAATTCACTTGAGAACAAACACGCACACTCACACAGGCACGTACTGCCACAAATAAGTCAAGTGTAATGTCACCCTGTTAAACAAGCTAACGGTTAGAGGAGATTTGGCCATAGTGTTAAATTATGAAAAACAAAATTAAATCACAGTGAATGACAAGCATACAGCAACGATATTGAGCGTGATCCCGTGTGTGTGCGTGTATGCGTGTGCGTGGGTTGAGTTAGAGGAGAGATAGAGGGGGAGAGAGATATGTATTTAGAGAGAGAGGGAGGAGAGAGAGAGAGAGAGAGAGAGAGAGAGAGAGAGAGAGAGAGAGAGAGAGAGAGAGAGAGAGAGAGAGTTGTACCCATGACACGTCACATACAACATGTGAACTTGGAACCTAAACCTGACAAACAAACCAGTAACGGACAAAGGAATTAGCCCTGTAACGGACATGCTGGATCATCAGCACTTAAACCGTGTTCCTGATTTCTATGTCACCTTGCGCAGCCATTTTGTCCTCTAGCTGAGTTTTCACACGGCCTTGTTTCTGGATCTCAAACCAACTGTTTGGTAGCAGTCTTTGTTGTCTACAAGTGAGAGGACAAGTCCCCTATCTTCAGGGAAACTAACCTCAGAGTATTACGGACAAAATTAAAGGCAAATATGACAACCTCACCTTCTCACCGCTAAGCTCAACCTTTAGTACTGCTGCCACCCGCCATGTATGTCACGTGCAGACACGTCATCAGGGATTTTCCGTACGTAATTTATCACCACCTGTACTTCACGGTTCCCTTTACAAGTTATCGAGGCATGACCTCTTCAAATCTGGACTGACAACCCAAGAATGTGTAACTAAAAGTTGGTTTTATTGCATGTAACATACTGATATGATCATAAATGTTTTCTTTTTATATTATATCATGGTGTAAACTCTCAACGTCGAATATGAAGATACGTAATGCCCTCAAGAAAACCATCTTCACTCACTCACTTATGATGATATATCATGGTGTAAACTCTCAACGTCGAATATGAAGAGACGTAATGCCCTCAAGAAAACCATCTTCACTCACTCACTTATGATGATATATCATGGTGTAAACTCTCAACGTCAAATATGAAGATACGTAATGCCCTCAAGAAAACCATCTTCACTCACTCACTCACTTATGATGATATGTCATGGTGTAAACTCTCAACGTCGAATATGAAGATACGTAATGCCCTCAAGAAAACCATCTTCACTCACTCACTCACTTATGATGATATATCATGGTGTAAACTCTCAACGTCGAATATGAAGATACGTAATGCCCTCAAGAAAACCATCTTCACTCACTCACTTATGATGATATATCATGGTGTAAACTCTCAACGTCGAATATGAAGAGACGTAATGTAATGCCCTCAAGAAAACCATCATCTTCACTCACTCACTTATGATGATGATATGTCATGGTGTAAACTCTCAACGTCGAATATGAAGATACGTAATGCCCTCAAGAAAACCATCTTTCACTCACTCACTTATGATGATGATAATCATGGTGTAAACTCTCAACGTCGAATATGAAGAGACGTAATGCCCTCAAGAAAACCATCTTCACTCACTCACTCACTTATGATGATATATCATGGTGTAAACTCTCAACGTCGAATATGAAGAGACGTAATGCCCTCAAAGAAAACCATCTTCACTCACTCACTTATGATGATATGTCATGGTGTAAACTCTCAACGTCGAATATGAAGATACGTAATGCCCTCAAGAAAACCATCTTCACTCACTCACTTATGATGATATGTCATGGTGTAAACTCTCAACGTCGAATATGAAGAGACGTAATGCCCTCAAGAAAACCATCTTCACTCACTCACTTATTATGATATATCATGGTGTAAACTCTCAACGTCGAATATGAAGAGACGTAATGCCCTCAAGAAAACCATCTTCACTCACTCACTTATGATGATATGTCATGGTGTAAACTCTCAACGTCGAATATGAAGAGACGTAATGCCCTCAAGAAAACCATCTTCACTCACTCACTTATGATGATATGTCATGGTGTAAACTCTCAACGTCGAATATGAAGATACGTAATGCCCTCAAGAAAACCATCTTCACTCACTCACTCACTTATGATGATATATCATGGTGTAAACTCTCAACGTCGAATATGAAGATACGTAATGCCCTCAACCATGCTACTGTGAAAACCATCTTATCTATAAGACAAATCGAATTGTTGGACAATTAACAGTTATGAGCGTGGTATCTTCAAATGTATCAGTCTATGTAAATTTTCTCGACTTAAACGTCTCCTGCCACTGTGACAGCGTTCACTGGTTTTCAGTTCGGGGATCTTCAGAGTGAACACCAAATTGTCATCAACAGACACCTGAAATTATTAATTCAATCAATTTTCAATCTGCCAACTTTAAAGTGAAATAACACATGTAATATTTGATTAGTTGCAGCCAAATATCACAGTATAAAAGCTCAAATAAATGTCTGTTAACATATATAGCTCGTAAACAGTTCAATAAGTGAAAGCTTCCGTTCCCATTTGGGTTTTGTCTTCAATGTCTGCTGGTGCCACCATGAGCCCCAAATCAGCAGGACCAAATTGGAGTTTTCTGGCTCAAAGTACAGCTTCGCGTAAACGATTACGAATGGTTTGCGCCGACATTTCTCCTCCTTTCAGTCGCTGTGACAGCTCGACTCCGCAAATGATATACTGGGATGTACCTATCCTGCGCTGCAGTGGTAATCCGAGGTCTACAACTTTGAGGCCGACCTTTCGTTGAATTGGATTGCTGGTATCGAGCCCGTAAAGGACTGATAGTTCTGTGGTGAACATTGAGGTGACGTGAAACGGCAGGTTGCGACCCCCAGCCTCCAGACGTCCAATGACAATGTTTCCATTTACAGCAGTGAGTTGCAGCATAACGATATTCTTTCATTTACCTAAAAGTGTCAATGACAGTCTCAAAACAAGACGGCCTTTTATAGGCAATGCGCCTGCTCATAATTCCTCAGAGCTGCGCGTGCATATTGCGAACCACGTTTTTCTGCATGACATTTTCATGCAAGTTGACTATTTTAAAAGTCGACTTTTATTAAAGTTTCGAAGGAGCGTTTTTTGCACTGTGCATTCGTTCCATGTACACAAGACAGCGTTTTAATGGCGAAATCATAACAATCAAACAATAATTTTGAAAATTATTTGAAATTCCATGCATCAATATCACCTATGCATTTTCTTGTTTTTGAGAGTATATGTTCACTTTCAAAGATTTGAAATAACTTACAATAGTCACTACATTTAGCGTTTATTGTATTTTCCATTCATTTGTTGTATGAAGAAGAATAGAAATGATGGACTATGTCCATGCTCTTTCCTGACAAAACATCCCATAACTTTCAGAATCATTGCTCAAACACTTGATATTGTATATTATACTGGTCTAAAACTGAACTAAATGTGTTCATAACATTAGTACATATTACTGATTTGCTTGGTCGTATTGAATACGTTATGACATTGGCTCTTGTTTTGGTGAAAGTTAAGTCACATATGAGGTTGAGTGAGTGAGGTTTTACGCTGCTATTGGCAATATTCCAGCAATATCACGTTGGGGACACCAGAAGTGGGCTTCACACATTGTACCCATGTGTGGAACCCGTGTGTACGGTGTGACGAGCAAACGCTTTAGCCACTATACTAACCCACCGCTCCCCAGTCGTATGGAGGCGGTCTGTAAATTATCGAGTCTGGACCAGATAATCCTGTAAAATCAACAGCATGAGCATCGGTCAACGCAACTTGGATACGATGTCAACCAAGTCAGCGAGCCTGACCACCCGATCCCGTTAGTCACCTCTTACGACAAGCGTGGATAACTGAAGACCAATTCTGGCCCGGATCTTGACGGGTCCTGGTCATAGTGTACCTGAAAGTCATTCCACTGTAACACTACTGCCAGCTCGAATGTCGTCCATGCTAGGTCAGGACATCCTTCTGCTGTTTCCCATGTTGATTTGGCTGGTGGCCTGTGACTGGTAAAAGTCATGAAGTTGAGGTTTTTGCCGTCCTTAGATTCTACATAGATGTCTAAAGGGGTCATTTCGTCGTTTTCCAGGGTGATGCCAAACCTAAGAAATTCGAAGAGTTATAATTCAATTTAGATTCTGAATGGATGTTTTGCTAAGATTATATATTTCAATGAAATGTCAGACACAAAATTGAAAAGGAATTACTCAATCTTGAATGCTGTGTTGAGTTTGTTTTTGTTGACCGCCACACTAGGCAAATTCAGCCATGTAGCGGCAGTTTGTAAATAATCGGATCTGGACCAGACGATCCAGTGATCAACATCATGAGCATCAGTCTACGGTACTGAGATACGATGACATGTGTCAACCACATCAGCGAGCCTGACCACCTGATCCTGTTAGTCGCCTCACGACAAGAATGGGTTGCTGAAGACAAATTTTAACCCGTATCTTCAGAGGTATATAAGTTTTAAGGGTCAACCCAGTGATTGATATAATAAACAACTTTTTCATGGGGATATGTTGATGTGTTACTGACAAACAAGGATCAATATCACGCTAAAAGGGGATTCGAACCGACCCAAATCTCTCCCTCCTTCAACGATAAACAATAAACATTTCTAGTAGCATATAACCTTATATGGAAAACATACTACTGCAACCGTGTCTTTCGCGTGAAGATGGTTCTATTTCTTTTAACTGTTGGAACACGACAGATTTAACAGCTGACATTCCAATTGAGGGTGACTGATGGAATCTAGACCCCGCGAGACAAATCGCGGAAACGTAGTAGGACTTCCATATACGGGCATTCGTTACTATGCACCGATTCTGCTTCCTCAAGGCTCCGTTAATGAATTGCATTGGTGCAGCGTGATTACAGAATGCCCTTTGACCTTTCTGACCAGTGATACCGTGCACACCTCTGAGGGTTCCGTTCATGAGTTGGAACACGACAGATCAACAGCTGGCATTCCAATGGAGTGTGACTCATGGAATCTAGCCCGCGAAAATCGCGGAAACGTAGTAGGACTTCCATATACGGGCATTCGTTACTATGCACCAATTCAGCTTCGTTAGGGCTCAGTTAATGAATTGCATTGGTGCAACGTGATTCTAGAATGCCCTTTGACCTTTCTGACCTGTGATATCGTGCACACCTGTGGTGGTTCATGACCTATGCCTATGAACTTGCCCTTAATGATGTCATCGTTCACATGACTCCATGTATCGTATTAACCGGAAGTCTGATAACGTCAGACTTCCGGTCACGTGACAGCACCTCCTCAATGAGGTGCTTTACGTATTAAATTTACCCTACTCACATCTTCTAAATGACATTGTGTAATCAAAGCTTTCGGTCATCGCAGCCATGCCAATTTACACTTGTCAGATGTACACAAGTCCGCTCTAGACTATCAGTTGTCCGACTTGAATCCCGGATGGGACTCAACCCAGCAAAAATACTAGAATCTGTACTTTACTAAGAAAGTGTAATCCCAAATATAACACAATTAACATGAATTATATAGTTCACATTAATAAAAGGACGGAAAACAGCTCTTGGCAATGTTTGGCGTCAATGTCAGGAAGTTCGGTTATCATATCGATTCATTACATTCTTGTACACATGGTAAACACCTTGCAAGCTTCCATTCAGTAGCAGCCAGTCAGCTTGAAGTAGATAACACAAAATGCATAACACGGTTAATGTATTTATTTCTGACTCTCTGTTACAGAAACAGAGGAGACGCTCAGGGTGGTGTCTGGCCACATACGTAGAGAAATACATCAACTCAGACTTTCTTTGAATAGACGATACAAATACTAGGAGACACACTCATACACACACACACACACACACACACACACACACACACACACACACACACACACACACACACACACACACACAACACACACACACACACATCAGTAAACAATGTAAGGTCATTCAGTATTTAACACATAATTATTGTCATTCATCAACAAAGTTGGTCACAGCATGTTACAACATCTATTTTACATAAAACTTGGTTTGTTCACTTTGGATATACGATGTAAATATATGGTGTCAAGTAAGTAAAACTAAGAGTTATTCTCAAAAGTTTTCATTTATATCTAAACAGAATTACATTACTTACAACCACGTGTTACAATATGCTCCAACAATTACTGAAGCAGAGGTATGCTGTTACTCATACAAGAAACAAAATATGGAATGCTATTTTTGGTACATTTGTTGTCATCATTAAAATATGAAATAATACGTTTTCCGTCAGGAGTTCTGAAGTACTATATTAAATTCTAAATTTATACAGGTGAGATTACAACGAGTACACAATTTCTTTCTCATATAATAGTTCCTTAAACATTGAAAAGAAATTATACTTTGTAGACAACAGGACACCATAAAGAACAATTCACAATTATTACCAATAATGTAGATATATATTTAAGGGTCTGGCCCCGTTCCTCAAAGCGATCGTAGCGCTCCGACAGTCGTAAGTCTATGTTAAAGTGTGGGAGTTACGACAGTCGTAAGTCTATGTTAAAGTGTGGGAGTTACGACAGTCGTAAGTCTATGTTAAAGTGTGGGAGTTACGACAGTCGTAAGTCTATGTTAAAGTGTGGGAGTTACGACAGTCGTAAGTCTATGTTAAAGTGTGGAGTTACGACAGTCGTAAGTCTATGTTAAAAGTGTGGAGTTACGACAGTCGTAAGTCTATGTTAAAGTGTGGGAGTTACGACAGTCGTAAGTCTATGTTAAAGTGTGGGAGTTACGACAGTCGTAAGTCTATGTTAAAGTGTGGGAGTTACGACAGTCGTAAGTCTATGTTAAAGTGTGGGAGTTACGACAGTCGTAAGTCTATGTTAAAGTGTGGGAGTTACGACAGTCGTAAGTCTATGTTAAAGTGTGGGAGTTACGACAGTCGTAAGTCTATGTAAAAGTGTGGGAGTTACGGCAGTCGTATGTCTATGTTAAAGTGTGGAGTTACGACTGTCGTAGCTACGATGCTGATCATTTCTTGGGTAAAAGGAGAACATATATACAATGCAACATCTAAATAGGTCTCCATATATACAATGTAACATCTAAATAGGTCTATGTACAATATCAAATCTGTTACTGTACAATGAGTATATTAACAATCTGTATGATAGTCGACCAGTCTAATTGTCCCAAAGTTAACTCCTTAACTTCTTTAATGCCATTAAAAAAGGAAGAAAGACAATATCTTTCTCCGACTCCTAAGAACACATCGTCATGTACACAGACAAAGTTATGAATGGAATTCGACAGGCGGACGGACACAGACAAACGTAGGGTCAATGGACCGATTACCATTTGCATTAAATTATATCACATGTTTATATATTCCATGAGTCAACATCTGATAACAAGCAAAGACGCATGTCTTAAAATGAGCATGTAATAAATACTATGTGAATAATTTACAACATTTCCACAGACAGACATGCAGACAGACAGACAAGAAGGCAAGACGCACAGACATGACATGTACTAAACAGACAGACAACAGACAGACGTCAGGTTGTGTCTTTCACACCGACAGACCCTAGAACACATCGATATGTACAGATATGCCTTTTGACAACGTTGAAAGAGTGAGAGAAGTTATGAATGGAATTCAACAGACAGGCAGACAGACAGACCTTGGGTTGGCAGGCGTCTTAACACGTCAGTTACATCTACGTGCGTAACTGAAAACCAATGATCAACATATGGAAGTGAGTGAGTGAGTGAGTGCGCGAATTAAGATTTTAAGTCACATCGGCAATATTTCAGCCATATCGTGACTAAATCAAGTTAAAATATATTAACAATTAAATGTAAATTATAAAATTCTGTCAATGAAGGACAGTAAAACAACTAGATTATAATATATAAATATAAAACTAGTAATTACATCTAAAATATTTTAACTATATATGACAATACAATATAAAACAGACCATAGATTGCCAACAACTGAAGGTAGATCACCATACTAAGGACGATCAACATCGGATAACAAGAAAAGCCGCATGTCTTAAAATGAGCATGTAATAAATAAAAAGTGAATTATTTACAATATTTCCGATTTAAAACCAGAAAGTATAGTCTATGCATTATGTCAAATATTTAGTGAACAGCTGAAATACGAGTCCCTCAATTCATCGTATTTCTTCAGGAATGAACAAACTATGTCAAACAATGTATATAGACATCTATGGACATATCTACAGCATCTGATTATAGGCCAAGAGCTGCTACCCACAGGCATTCGTTGGTGTTAAAACTCCAGCAATTACAGAATGTGAATTGTTTTGTTATAAACCATTTGCAAACAGTAAATATCGTCAATGCATGATGTCAAATATTTGGTGAACATCTGAAATGTCTGAAATCAGAAATTCTCCAGGAATGAACAAACTGTGTCAAACAATTACAAAGACGAATATTTACATATCTACAACATCTGATTCACGGCAATAGTTGGTACCCACAGCTGCCGAAGGAAGCATGTCTTGACATAAAATAAACATCTAGTAATTACTGAATGTACATCATTATCATTATTTCTCCCATTTGCAACCATCAAACTAGTCAAGGCATATTTAAATAGCAAGGAGTAAAAGCAACACCTATGTACTGCAGCAGTATGTCTCAAAACGATATAGACATGTATTTACATATCTACAACAACTGATTACAATTGGTACCAATAGCTGTGGAACACCGATAAGTCAAGTGTCAAATACTTGAAAATACAGTACAAGAAGGTATTATCTTCCAAACATTCACTTAAGATAAGTGGGCATATTCAAGTTGCATACTGAGACGCTTTGAAAATACATACTATATCCTTTGTATTTATTTGACAAATTTGACCTAACAAACATCAGATTGTTCTGCTTATTTAGGCATAAGATCATCAAAATCAACAATGTCGTATTACAGGTTTCATTTGAAGTGTTATCTATTGTGTACAAAATTCATTTGCTGACTTCTTGTTCATACTCATTGTGCATTTTTACAGTGTATCAGTATATTTAAGAATCTATGATGTCCAGAATGATTCTTGACATTCTTAAGTTATTAGGAAAGTCCATCGGCTGCCCACCCTTTTTACAAATCGTTCTCATTCATTAATTTCCTGACATATTCCTCAAGCATTCAACAATGTCATTGCTTCTGCCCTCTCTGAGCCAGAGTAAGGATGCATTCTCTTGTGTCTGAGAGCAAGGAAAGATCAGCCTTGTGGTCCACAAGCAGCTGGAAGACATCCTCATGTCCACACACAGCCGCCATCATCACCGGTGTCCAGTTATACCGACCTCGGACATTGATGTCATAGGACGGGAGCAGATACACTGCACATTTCCTGTTGCCTCCACGACAAGCCAGATGAAGCAGACTGTCTCCAAACTGGTCTGTCTGAACAAGCTCAGGACTGTTGTCATGGCAAACTTTCAACTTTTCAAAAGATCCAGTCACTACCGATCTCCTCAGTGTAGTCCAGGGATTCTGCTTCTTCACATATTGTCCATCAGGTGATAATCGTTCTATGATTTGTCTACATCCTCCCTGAAGGGCGAGAGTGAACAAATCATCTCCAGTCTCATCAACCAGTGTCAGATCTGCACTTTGTAGTCTCAGGTAGTCAAACACTGCAGACTTTCCAAATATAGATGCTACCATTGCAGGAGTCCACCCAAATGTGCCTCTGTCATCAATATTAAACCATGGACACAGATGTTTCACCATACCAAGGTGCCCACCTACACAAGCAACGTGTAGCAGGCTATTCCCAATATCGACCACTATTTTGACGTCAGCGTCTCGACCACAAGGAAGTCAACTACAGGAATGTGGCCTCCTCTAGCTGCCTCCAGGAGCGGTGTCCGACCGTGAAAACCTCTTGTGTCAATGTCAAAATCGCCTATGACATCTACAACAATCAACATGTTACCACCTCTACATGCTGTGTGTAGTGTTGTGTGATTATCATCACCTACACAAACACGGTTACCTCCACGTTTCAGAAGGAGTTCCCAAATATTGTGGTTTCCACAGAAAACTGCATTCATTAATGGTGTAAAGCCGTCTTGTCCCCGACAATTAATATAAAAGAATGGAAGCAGATCTTCTACAATGCCACTATTCCACTCTGACATGCCACATGAAGGAGGGTGTCATTGTTGTCATCTCTTAGTGTGAGATCTGCTCTCTTTGACACAAACAGGTCGACAATATCCTTCTTCCCAACTCAAAGCTGCTGCCATCAAAGGTGTCAAATCCACTTTTCCCCGACAATTCATGTCAAACAGTGGAAGCAGATCTTCTATAATGGGACTATTTCCACCTCCACATGCCACATAAAGGAGGGTGTTATTTTTGTCATCTCTTAGTGTGAGATCAGCTCCCTTTGACATGATCAGGTCGACAACATCCTTCTTCCCGCACCAAGCTGCTGCCAATAAAGGTGTCAATCCACTTTTCCCCGACAATTAATGTCAAACGGTGGAAGCAGATCGTCTACAATCCCAGCATTTCCACCTCGACATGCCACATGAAGGAGGGTGTTATTTTTGTCATCTCTTAGTGTGAGATCAGCTCCCTTTGACACGAGCAGATCGACAACATCCTTCTTCCCAAGAAAAGCTGCTGCCATCAAAGGTGTCAAACCCTCATCTCCCCGACAATTGATGTCAAACAGTGGAAGCAGATCTTCTACAATGCGACTATTTCCACCTACACATGCTAGATGAAGGAGGGTGTCATTGTTGTCATCTCTTAGTGTAAGATCAGCTCCCTTTGTCTTGAGGATATCGAAAACATCTCTTGCCAAAGATAGCTGCTATCATCACTGGTATAAGATCCGACTGTGCCCGACAATTGATGTCAAACAGTGGAAGCAGATCTTCTACAATGCCACTATTTCCCCTGACATGCCAGATGAAAGGCATTTCTACTGCAGTCATCTTTTTAGTGTGAGATCAGCTCCCTTTGACACGAGCAGGTCGACAACATCCCTCTTCCCATACCAAGCTGCTGCCATCAAAGGTGTCAAACCCACTTTTTTCCCGACAATTAATGTCAAACAGTGGAAGCAGATCTTCTACAATGGGACTATTTCCACCTCGACATGCCAGATGAAGGAGGGTGTTATTTTTGTCATCTCTTAGTGTGAGATCAGCTCCCTTTGACACGAGCAGGTCGACAACATCCTTCTTCCCAAGAAAAGCTGCTGTCATCAAAGGTGTCCAACCCTCTTCTCCCCGACAATTGATGTCAAACAGTGGAAGCAGATCTTCTACAATGCGACTATTTCCACCTACACATGCTAGATGAAGGAGGGTGTCATTGTTGTCATCTTTTAGTGTGAGATCAGCTCCCTTTGACGCGAGCAAGTCGACAACATCCTTCTTCCCACACAAAGCTGCTGCCATCAAAGGTGTCCAACCCTTTCTCCTCGACAGTTGATGTCAAACAGTGGAAGCAGATCTTCTACAATGCGACTATTTCCACCTACACATGCTAGATGAAGGAGGGTGTCATTGTTGTCATCTTTTAGTGTGAGATCAGCTCCCTTTGACACGAGCAAGGCGACAACATCCTTCTTCCCACACAAAGCTGCTGCCATCAAAGGTGTCCAACCCTTTTCTCCTCGACAGTTGATGTCAAACAGTGGAAGCAGATCTTCTACAATGGGACTATTTCCACCTCGACATGCCACATGAAGGAGGGTGTTATTTTTGTCATCTCTTAGTGTGAGATCAGCTCCCTTTGACACGAGCAGGTCGACAACATCCTTCTTCCCAAGAAAAGCTGCTACCATCAAAGGTGTCCAACCCTCTTCTCCCCGACAATTAATGTCAAACAGTGGAAGCAGATCTTCTACAATGCGACTATTTCCACCTACACATGCTAGATGAAGGAGGGTGTCATTGTTGTCATCTCTTAGTGTAAGATCAGCTCCATTTGTCTTGAGAAGATCGAAAACATCTCTCTTGCCAAAGATAGCTGCTATCATCACTGGTATAAGATCCGACTGTGCCCGGCAATTGATGTCAAGACAGTGGAAGCAAATCTTCTACAATGCCACTATTTCCACCCTGACATGCCAGATGAAGGGCATTTCTACTGCAGTCATCTTTTAGTGTGAGATCAGCTCCCTTTGACACGAGCAGGTCGACAACATCCTTCTTCCCACACCAAGCTGCTGCCATCAAAGGTGTCAAACCCACTTTTTCCCGACAATTAATGTCAAACAGTGGAAGCAGATCTTCTATAATGCCACTATTTCCACCCTGACATGCCAGATGAAGGGCATTTCTACTGCAGTCATCTTTTAGTGTGAGATCAGCTCCCTTTGACACGAGCAGGTCGACAACATCCTTATTCCCGCACAAAGCTGCTGCCATCAAAGGTGTCCAACCCACTTTTCCCCGACAATTAATGTCAAACAGTGGAAGCAGATCTTCTACAATGCGACTATTTCCACCTCGACATGCCACATGAGGGAGGGTGTTATTTTGTCATCTCTTAGTGTGAGATCAGCTCCCTTTGACACGAGCAGGTCGACAACATCCTTCTTCCCATACCAAGCTGCTGCCGTCAAAGGTGTCCAACCCTCTTCTCCCCGACAATTGATGTCAAACAGTGGAAGTAGATCTTCTACAATGGGACTATTTCCACCTCGACATGCCACATGAAGGAGGGTGTTATTTTTGTCATCTTTTAGTGTGAGATCAGCTCCCTTTGACGCGAGCAAGTCGACAACATCCTTCTTCCCAAAGAAAGCTGCTGCCATCAAAGGTGTCCAACCCTCTTCTCCCCGACAATTGATGTCAAACAGTGGAAGCAGATCTTCTACAATGCCACTATTTCCACCTACACATGCTAGATGAAGGGCATTTCTACTGCAGTCAGCTCTTAGTGTGAGATCAGCTCCCTTTGACACGAGCAGGTCGACAACATTCTTCTTCCCACACCAAGCTGCTGCCATCAAAGGTGTCCAACCCTCTTCTCCCCGACAATTAATGTCAAACAGTGGAAGCAGATCTTCTACAATGCCACTATTTCCACCTACACATGCTAGATGAAGGAGGGTGTCATTGTAGTCATCTCTTAGTGTAAGATCAGCTCCCTTTGACACCAGCAGGCCGAAAACATCCTTCTTCCCACACAAAGCTGCTACCATCAAAGGTGTCAACCCACGTTTCCCCGACAATTAATGTCAAACAGTGGAAGCAGATCTTCTACAATGGGACTATTTCCACCTCGACATGCCAGATGAAGGAGGGTGTTATTTTTGTCATCTCTTAGTGTGAGATCAGCTCCCTTTGACACGAGCAGGCCGAAAACATCCTTCTTCCCATGGACAGCTGCTCTCATCAAGGGTGACCGACCCACATTTCCCCGACAATTAATGTCAAACAGTGGAAGCAGATCGTCTACAATGCCACTATTTCCACCCTTACATGCCACATGAAGGAGGGTGTTATCATTTTTGTCATCTCTTTAGTGAGAGATCAGCTCCCTTTGACACGAGCAGGTCGAAAACATCCTTCTTCCCATGCAAAGCTGCTTCCATCACTGGCGTAAGACCAACGTGTCCCAGACAATTAATGTGAGAGAATGGGAGAGTTTTGCCCATAGGATATCTTGCATTAATGTCAGTGACTGGAAGGAAGAATTGTGAAAGTCTTACATCCCCACTTTACAGCTGTAACACAAGGCTGAATAAGCTGCTCTCTGAAAGTCGAAGTCTCCAGTCAGATCTTTGATATTTAATCCTTTGGTAATAAATCCCAAAAATTCTCTACCAAGTAGACGGAACTCCTTCATCCTAGCAATTTGAAAGACATTTTCACCAACATCATTTTGGATTCATAGATATCAGCTCCTGCGTTAAGTAAAGCCAATGCAACGTCTTTGTAATTATTTTCTGTGGCAGTCACTAGAGCTTTGTTGAGCACACTTTGATGAAGCAGTGACTTATATTTGGAAGATAACAACACCAACACTGCTTCGTTCCTACAGGAAGCACAGGCCTTGAATGCTTCCTTGATCTCATCATCTGAAAAACGGTATCCAACATCAAGGATTTTCTCAACCAAGTACAGACTATGAGCATGAACTGCCCAGTAGAGTAAGTGCTTCTCTTCTTCCTTTGCATGTAACATGGCAAGCCTTTGTGTGTCCTTCGTATTGAGCAGCCGCTTTATTGTATTTGATTTCCTCAGTTTGAGCATCTGGAACACTTTGTCCACTATTTGCTTGTTTTTCAAAATAGGATGTGTAATAGACATACTGTAGTTGCCTTTGGCAACAGCATCGGCCAGCCTGGAGGCAATTGTGTCATAGTAAGCATCTGAGACGTAGATGATGTGGAGGTGATTATCTATTGCAGTGGACTGGACTGGCTGGGCCTGTACACGCTCATAAAGGAATCTGATACTGCAGTGGTTCAGAACGAAGGATGGATTCATGTTGAATAGGGCACTAACGCACAGGCGTCATAGATGGTGGGATGTGAAAATCCAAGGATATCTCCATCCGTGAAAAATGTTCCCCTGTAACACCTGATGGCTTTGGCAACTGCAGTCCGTGACGTTACTGACACCACACTTTTTACAGCCTGCAGATTAGCTTCTAAAACATGATTTTTAGATTCCATTTCTACCTGGCTCAAGTTCAGAGGATCTTCACACAACAACATCAGGATGAGAGCAGCGGACTGGTCATTTCCACGTTCCATGATCATGTCAATTTCTCGCCGTAGATAAAAGTAGTGGTTCTTGGAAAAATTGTGGAGGTTCTTTTTGAAAACTCAGGAATTCACAAAACAGAGTACATATCAGGGGAAAGCCAAACAAAGAATCTCTTTTGTCACAAAGCCTACCAATATCGAGGTTCAGGTCGATATTATGGTGTTTTAGTTGTTTCTGGAGTATTTTCCTTCGTTCCACGGGACTGTAATGACACGATTTCATTTTTTGTCAAATCAAGAAGCGATGGTCGTTGAAAAAATAGCATTCTTTGCCATCCAACTTTGCGACTCCACATTCCAGGTTGTACGATTTGGTGGTGAAGATAACAAGAATCGCTGATTCAGCGCCTGGATGTGTTTTCAGTTCCTTACTGGATTTGACATCTTCCAAATAATGTTTGAGATTTTGTAGAATGGACTCTAAGATGGGGAACGTCAGTTGATAAGCCGACTGTTCCAAATATATCATCCAGTATCAGACAAACTTTCTTTCCACGCAGTTCACAATTCTTCAGCTCAAATTTATCCACATCATCAACAAACACAAGTTCATACCCCTGGTTCCGTGAGATCTGCTCCTATCATCAAGGCAATGGACGTTTTTCCTTCACCAGAAGCACCACTCTATTGTCACATGACCATACTTCTCCAAGAGTTCCTTTACTGTCCTGTAGGTAGCAGTTTTCTCAAAGATATCTTTGACTCGCTTCCAGGTTCATTTGCAGCATATCTACAAGACAAAAAAAAAATAGCCATAATTTTTAAACTATATATCCTGTTTCATCTGCAGTATCGAATCTATGTCTGGTGGCCACATTGCCACAAAAGTTTTTTCTAGTAAGATCTTCTTTGCCAATAACTAAATCTGATAGATAATAAAATCTGATGTATCCTCTCTGAAGCATACACCAAGAAGACCTAGGGAATCTATCATATCAATAATGTATGCCTGACATCCGTAGCAACAGCCCACCTGCCAACTGATCCAGTCAACTACCTGAGTTGCCCACTCCTTTACAGGAAAACAAAAGAGCATCGCGAAACTGACCCCATTTTAATCTGACCGTCAACCAAGATGAGAGTTGCATAACTCAGTTATCCTACAGCCACACTACACAAACTAGATTTATATACAACATTGTTTTCTGCATAAAGCCTACCTCCTTATCATCTGCCTATTATTTTTCTGTTTAGGTCTATCACCATGTGCTATGCTGTTGTTAAAGAAGTGTGTTACATTTGAGAACAG